GCGATCGGATCGCGAGGCCTGAACGCGGTTAACGCGCGTCTACGTGCTGTAACGAACATCGACGCGCCTTAAACCGTCTGCAACAGCGCTCCACTGCTATAGACGCGAACGCTGCCGGAAATCGATCAGTGCTGGCTGCTTGTGGATTGAGAAAGCAAGGGGCGGGGGAGGGGTAGAGTAACATTGCGCATGAGGGAACAAGAAGGTCAGCGCCTGCACTGTTACCCCATACTCTCTCTCAGAGCACAAGCGGCCGACAACGATCGATTCCTGACTGTGGCTGCATTCGCGTCTTCGGGATTGGAGCGCTGTTGACACGCGTCGACTCGTGTCGTCACTAAGTCTGAAAGCAACACTCGTAAAAGATCATATCGGAAACGACCATCATTGTGACAGTCCACTTACCCCCACTGATCGTAGCTGTTGATGTCCCAAACTACTCCTTGTACGAAGATTTTGTGTTCGTACAAAGCTATCAACAGACCAAGAGTGAATGGAGAAACTACTGGCAGCACAATCGACGTTGTCGGACGGTTTCCTTCGAATACCTGGAGACATAGCTCTTTGGTAATCGCTTTATCCCATATAAAAGGGGAACAAGTCTTGGGGGACGTTTATACTTCGCGATCCGATCATACGATTTCACTAACGGATCGCAAAGTATGAACGCGCTCGTGTGAACAACTGTACCTTGTGTGGAAGAATTTTGGCTATTTTATCAGCTGGAGTCTTTGCAGCTTTTAACTCGGCTTCTGCTTCTTCATGGGTCTTACCCTTCATTAATGCCTCCGTCTGCGCTAGGAAATTGGCGAGAAGAATCTGAACACTCATTTAGATCCTTCAATGAGAACCTTTACGGCATGAAGCAGCTCACCTGATGATGCAAGCCATTACGAACTGGATTAAGTGTTCTAGCCGGAGCTATGAAGTCACAGGGAATCAGCCTAGTGCCTTGATGAATGAGTTGATAGAACGCATGTTGACCGTTGGTGCCGGGTTCACCCCACACAATTGGTCCAGTAGAGTAGTCCACTCGGTGGCCTTGCCTTGAAGAAAAGTGTTGGAGTTTTAGACGTTTGTAAGACTCCAGACTCGTAAGAGCGTCCATAGTTCAAGACTCAAACAATGCAGCCGCGCGACTATGGCAGACAGCACTCCAGTTCTGATCAATGGACCGCTGATTTGCAAATCGACTGAGTATTATGCTTTTGCAGATATTTTTTTGCAGATATATTTCCACAATCATGACAACTACTGGGATGATATCGCTTGAAATACTCATGAACGCGCTCATACTTCGCAATCAGATCGCTTGGATAGCGTTATCGGACGCGAAGTATGAACGAGTTCTATTCGTTGGAACTCACTAAATTATCAGTCGCAGGGGTCCATTAATTAACGATGGAGCACGGTCGTTAATTGTAGGAATGTTCGAGTTGAGAAGTATAAAACCCGCTTAGATCAGAAAATAAATGAAAAAATTCTTAAAGCTAGTACCTGGTCACAAATTTTCCGTTACTTTCCATGTCACCTTGCTGGAAGTAGGCGGCGAACCGATGAAGATATTGGTCATACCGCGTAGCACGCCGCATGGCTGTATTCTCGCACCATATACGATTTGACTGTAGGTAGCACTCCTAACATTGCCATGAGAACTCGGCTACCCTAAAATAAATAACATGGAAATTGGAAATTGTAGGGCCCTCGACGCGAGGAGCTCATGAGCCTCGCGATTGACGTCGCGTCATCGCGAGATCTGGACGCTGCTTGAAAAAGGAAAAGAAAAAAAACGCTCACATTGCGATCGAGGGGCTCGTTGACAAAGTGTTGATCCGCCGCATGTGCACCTTCTAGAAGTTTTCTGAAGTTGTCAAATCCGATGTGAACAGCAATAGAGAGACCAATCGCCGACCACAGGGAATATCTTCCTCCTACCCACTGGAAAAAGGTCGTTACAGCATAACTACACGATTGAATTTTGATTGCAATGGACTCACATCCCAGAATTCAAACATGTTTGAGGGGTCAATTCCAAACTCCGTGGCTTTGGGGACATTGGTAGAAAGAGCTACGAAATGCTTGGCAACAGCACTCTTGTCTCCCGCCTGAAAACTCGTTTTTGAAAACTTTTTGGGAACAACAAAAAGAATTGATCACCTTGTTGAGGAACCATTCCTTTGCTGTTTCTGCATTAGTTATGGTTTCCTGAGTGGTGAAGGTCTTCGATGCAATAATGAACAATGTGGTTTCTGGATTGAGCTTCTTGGTAACCTAAACAAGCGCATCTTCCCTGAACGACGGCTTACTTGCGGAAAAACCGTTCGGAACGTACCTCAGCAATATGAGTGCCATCCACATTGCTCACAAAGTGAACGTTGGGCCCAATTTGATAATGTCGGAGAGCCTCGCAGACCATCAGAGGACCCTAAAATTTACACAGCACAAAACTCTCGCTGAACATCCTGTCATTAATGAAACTGCACAGAAGATTACACCCAATGCAGGATGACGTGATTAACAATGGGTAGGCACGCCGGAATCAGTAAATGAAAATGTGTGGGTCCCATCAAAATATGGGGGGGGGGGGGTGGGCACGCTCGCACGTTTGCTACTTATCTTTGCTAGTTCTTATTGAATTACACGTCTCATCGTGGTAAGACCTGTAGATTCTTGCCAAAAGTCAACGAAACTCATGCTGTAGCTTCACAGGAATTCACAGGACTCCACGGGAGGCATCCGCAGTGATACATGGGTACAAAGCAAAATACCTCCCACCAAGCCGAACTGCGCCGGCTCGTGATACGACGCTTATCTTCTCACGGCGCACAAAAATACGACCCCAACGGTCAGGGGAAGAAGCATATGAGGAGATGGCCGTATACAGAGTCAGAATGAGCGGCAAAGGAGACGGGTAAGCCTAAGGCGGCGTAGGTGCGACTATGCGATTTTGAGCTGTTTTAATGGATAACTAATGTTCTGCTTAACGCAGCATTTTGTGCTCCGGAAGTTGTGGCGCAATGGTTTTCGTAATGGATAGCGGGATATGCAGGTTCGAGTCTC